ACACACACATATATATATATATATATATATATATATATATAATTCGATTGTAGAATTTTACAGTTGGAGTTATTTAAGATATGAACACAAATTATGAAAATGATAGAAAATACAATAAAAATGTATATATTTTGATGTATTATGAATAATTGCCACTGTGTGAATAATGTCCTCAAAATGCATTTAACATAGGCTATAACATATGACATTGTCAAATGTAATGTAATCTAATAGCTATATAATAATCTATTACAGCTATAATATTTGTAAGTACGTATTTATAGATTACTTAATCAGTTACCAGCCCTATATATAGCCTATATATTTTGTCAATTCATATCTTTGACGATTTTTGATTATTTTATTATTGTAGAATTTTAGAATGACTATTTTAGAATGATTACATTTTAAATGTAATATAATCTAATTACAACTATAATGTTTGGAATCAGATTTTGTATTTGATTAGGCTACTTAATCAGTTACCAGCACTATATAGCCTATATATAGTTTGTTATTTCATATTTTTGACGATTTCCTTATTTTATTATTATTGTAGAATTTTAGAATTGCTATTTTAGAATGATTAAATATGTATTTAAAAAACACCTAAATACTATCATATTAGCAATATATATATATATATATATATATATATAATCTTTTCCCTGGTATTATTAGAGATAAGATAGTGATAGATACTGAAAAAGTGGTATCTACTAACTAAAAATAAACAGCATGGTTTAGGGTTTATTTTAAGGGAAATCCAACTATCATATTAGCAATATATATATATATATATATATATATAATCTTTTCCCTGGTATTATTAGAGATAAGATAGTGATAGATACTGAAAAAGTGGTATCTACTAACTAAAAATAAACAGCATGGTTTAGGGTTTATTTTAAGGGAAATCCTCTGTATTCCAATAGCGCACCGGAGCAGAGCGCGCGGGGAGGGAGGCGGAGCGCGGTGCATGATGGGACGTGGGTGTGATCTCCATCAGCCGCCCGCTGACCTCTGACAGCAAACACGGAAGCAGCATGGCGTCAAACAGCAGCAGCGCACAGCAGAGACTCAGGATCATAGCCGGACATTTGCAGAAACGGCCAGAAGATGAAAACGCGAGCGTCGCTACGCAGGAGTGCAAAGCCGAGGCGCCCCGGTCCGAGCCGAGCAGCGCGACACCGGTACCGAGGAGGAGGTATGTGCGAGTCAGCCTGTGTGCTGAGAGACCCGGCTCTTCACACAGACTCACAAATAAACACTGCGTTGCGATTAAACAGCAGTCGCGTTAAGCAGTAGAGCAGCAGAAGCGGGCGATACATTGTATCAGTTTGTGCGCTCTAGAGCTGGATCTAAACAAAGTGTCCATTCATCCCGGAGGTGGGTGCGGTGGCGCGCGATATCTGCACACTGAGGGACACTTCGCATCTGGTTTTCTCTTGACACAGAGCATTGTGCTTATTGCAGCAGTTCAGCGAGCAAACCAGTGCTGAAGAAGACGCGTGTCTGCTGCTGGTTCCTCCAGTGCACATTATAAACGCGCATCAGCCCTTAAAGCTATAGGTCACCCAAAAATAATGTCTGTCGTCATCTACCCAGCCCCAAGTTAACGAGATTGAAGAACCAGGGCAAATTTTCAGTTAATAGCTTACATTTGGGTCTGTCCCTCACAGAAGTCATGTGGAGCGAGACATATGGTGCTATATGAAATACGTTCCATCTATAGAAACTGGTTTTGTTTAACAAGCTTTAGCTTTAATAATGTGACAGTCTTTTAATTTGGGTCCTCTGAAAGTCTCCAGAGGCTCTTTTGGAGAATATATATAGAGCTTGGTGACCTTAACTCTTGAATAATCTGCTAATAATAATTAATGATTGTGGAAGGCGTTGACTGACAGTCTGAGTTTCGGGGCCTTCTGTCTATAAAGATTGAAACCCCCATTGATTCTGATTCCTCTGTTTTCAGACATGTGCTTTCACTGGACGTGATGGTGCTTCTGTAATCGGAAAGGGCGTTGGTTATTTCTGTCTGTCTGTAGAGTCGACAGCACTAGCCTGAGGCTCTTCACTGCATCACTGGGGTGTTTATTACACACTTATGGTCAATAATCTCCATGCTACTTGCTTTTCTTTGTTGACAGCTGGTATCACTTTACTCTTATAATTTAGTGGATAGATTATTGGTCATGCAGTCTATTGTTATGAATGTTAGCTAATATGAGGTGATCTCCCCACAAGTTGTATTTTGTATGTCAAAAGTTAGTATGGCAGAGCTGTGCTCTGGTTGGATGAGGGCTGTGGCGGCCTTACTTTGTATTTCCTGAGAGTGAAAATGTACTTCCTTCATGTGGGATAATGGCACTGTGCTGCCATCTAGTGCTGGACATTGAACAACCTTTAACCTACCGAGCCCCAGCGGAAAGATTTTAGTATTTAGATTTTTCAAATGATTGAGATATTATTATTATTATTATTTTTTGTCATATCCTGTTTTCTCCGAATGAACTTCTCAGTATGAACCCACACTTGCGGTCTTTGCACTTGACCACTTGCATGACATATTTCCTGTTTTTGGCCCAAGTGGGTATGAAGACCACAAAGGCCTGTCCAAATACCCACACTTGCAGTCTTGGTCACTTGAGCGCATGCACGCAGCAGGAAGTAAGTGCGTAAGACTGTCCCAGGTCTTAAAAACACCAAAGCACAGTGCCCTTAATGCACACTAAATCCACACTATCTCATATATAACGCTCTGGGAGTGGTATTCGAGGCTAAGTGTATCCCATCATGCATCGTGTTCTGGAAATAAATTGTGAGACTTTTTGAGACATTTCAGAACAATACAGGAACTATTTTATCCGATAGTAGTGTATATCCAGTGTGGTGCATTGATAAGATACTGCTGGAGTTTCTGTATGTGTTAAATGTTTGATGTCAAAGAGAAATGGTAGATGTAAAGGTTGTTGAACTGCCTATAGTCATTGGCAACATTTGCTTTGCAGCATTATCTCATCTTGCCAGGCATTATACTGAAGGGGTTTAAAACATTTCCTCTTGATAGTGTGTGCCAGATGAACAAAACTGCTCAAAAATAAATCACTCATCAAGAATTGTTGGTTTTTGGCCATTGGTTTTTACCTGTCGGGTCCATTTTGTTGGTCTTGTTTTGTTAGCTGGAGAAGTTTCCTGATATCATGAGAAAAACATACTGTAAATACCTTACAAGGTGGTGATTTTGTATGAATTTGTATAATGTGATTAATGTGGTAAAGTACGATTTTTAGAAAAAAAAGCATGAAGATGACCAGCGTTTGTGCATGGGGCGCAAGCAGATCTTCCAAAAACATATGATAGAGACTGGACGAATTCATACAAATTAGCCACCAGTTGCCATAATGTAAAATAAATACCAATTGCCATGAGAGTGTATTTGTCGCCTTGGACTTACACAGACACCTAGTGGTGTGGATGTGTAAACATTGTCAAAGAACATAAAGTAAATTGTGGCCACATAAGCAATATTTAGCAAAAATGTTTCCCATTGCCATGTAGACGTAGTGACAAAGAAAGCCACTTTCAAACCAAGCAATGTTTCTGCTAGTTAAGGTGGTGAAGTTGCAAGGCTTACTTGAACATGAGCGAAATCTGTATTGGGGACGTTTTTGGCCTTACGCGAGACTCCTGTGTTGGGGAAAGTTACTTTTAGTAATGCATTACAGTGTTACGTTACTCAATAAAAAAGTAACTAATTGCATTACCTGGTTACTTTTTATGGAATGTAATGCATTACATTTACTTTTGCATTACTTTTTGTCACCTGAGCTGGGCTTGCTTATTTATTATTAATCGATGGTCCTTCGCAGAGATTGGTCACTATTTCTTTTTAATGTGATTTAGTTTGCAATTACATGTTTGACTATACCTGACCGAAACGTTGTAAATAAACTTTTTTGATACTTTTTTTGCAAAGTTTGGCAGTGTGCAGGATTTGTTTTGTTTTTCAATAACAAAAAAGCCAAAAGTTATATTTTTGGCAACTGTAAAGGCCCTTTCACACAAAAAGGGAAATGAATAAGCCTCGGGCTGAAGGAAGTGCCTCTGCACCTCACTCTCAATTCCTCTCAACACGGGGACGGGAGAGGAGTCAGTGAATGGGAAAACAAAGTAACTTGCCTTACTTATTTAAAAAAGTAACAGATAGGCCTATTTTCTTGTAAAATGTAAAAGTAATGAGTTACTTTACTAGTTACTAGGGTTGCAAAGGGGTGAAAATTGTTTTGGTAAGCTTCTGGAAGCTTTCCAAAAATCCCTGGAATATTCAAAAAAATCCTGGAATGTTTCCAAAATTTCTGGAATGTTTCTGAAATTTAACCCTACTAGTTACTTGAAAAAAGTAATCTGATTATGTAACTTGCATTACTTGTAATGCGTTACCCTCAACACTGCTCCTGAACGTGTGGGTTCCTGTTGAAATCTCTTGATTTTGCCTCAAAAATTTGCAGAGAAATGGCAAATTGACCACATCTTTAAGTTGTTAAAAATGCTTTGAGGTTAGGCCTAAACTGTGCACCTTTAAAGGGGTCATATGATGCGATTTCAATTTTTCCTTTGAGGGGCGTAACATTTCCGTCTCACGCTTGAGGTATTCGGCCAATCACAACGCTCTGGATAGCCGGCCAATCACAGCACACCTCGCTTTTTCAGACCGATGAGCTTTGTAAAAATCGACGCGTTTCAGAAAGGCGGGGCATAGAGGAGAAACAATAATGTACAGTATGTGGAAAATAATGTGTTTTTTGAACCTTAAACCGCATAAACACATTTCATTACACCAAATACACAAAATAATGTTCTTTTTAGCAGCATCATATGACCCCTTTAAATAAGTTAAATGGATAGTTCTCCAAAAAAAAAAAAAATCTTCGTTTACTGATCCTCAAATGTGTTTTTTAAATTTATTTATTATTTAAATAAAATGCGATGTAAGTCAGTGGCTACCGTCAACTGTTTTATGGTACAAATATTCTTACCAACATTCTTCAAAATATCAGAATAGCAATTTTGTGTTCAGCAGAAGAAAGCAAGTCATGATATAGGTGAGTAGAAGACAGAATTTGATGGTAGGAATAGTCTGCCTTGTCTTTTAGTTTACAATGCTTAAAAAATCCATAAAGTATTTTCCTGTGCGATTTATGCTGGACATAGCGTAATATAGCATAAACACTGCTCTTTGCTGTTGAGAAGTCCTCATGAACGGCTGTGCATTTGATGAGTGCTTTAGGGTTTGACTGTGTCTGTTTCTCAGAAGATTCCTGTCTCTGATCACCCTCTCGCGTGTTTCTGCAATCTGACAGTGTGTGTGTTTTGAGTCGAGTCCCACAGCGGGCGCAGCGCTCCAGAGATCACAGCTGCACTGAAGCCTGGAGGGATCATCGTGCGCTTTAGTTGGCTTGATAAGCAAATCATTGATCAGCAATCATCACACTTATCGTTACTCATGTGTAGAGGTCTGAGAAACGAGAAGAGAAGTGTGCTGTTAGTGATTGGCCGTGGCTAAAGACCACAAACCAGTTGACGGTTCAAGTTAAGATAATATCCTCACAACCAGAGCTGGGTAGATTCCTTACAAATTGTAGTCTGTTACTGATTCCAAATTACATGACAAAAATTGTAGTTAGTAACGTAATCCATTACATTACATATTTTAGGTAATATAATCAGAGTACTTTTAGATTACTTTTGAAATATCCCATTTCTCACATTGATTTAAATAGGATACCAATTTTGTACCATATTAAGAGTAAGAAAATATATTCCACTCATTGTTATCAACAATATGAAGTGCATTAAACATTATATTACATCAAGTTTTCCCAAACTGGGTTTGTGAAGGACCTGCAGGGGGTTTATGAGTTTATTAAAAAGCTCAATTAATTAATTAAATCATAATTTTTTTTTTATTATTGTGTAAATAATATGTAATCATGTAGGCTAATCCATAAAAAAAGTAACCGTAGTCTGATTTACAAATATTTTAAAATGTAATTTAATCTAATTACAAGTACTTAATTTTTGGAATCGGATTACGCCATCCAGATTACATGTAATCAGTTACTTCCCAGCTCTGCTCACAACTATAAATAAGGGTTTTCGTAATTTAAGGAGAATGTGATGTGGAGGAACATTATAAACTGTTCA